CAGATTCTTAATGAGGAAATTACTGAATCAAAGCTCTGATTTTAAGGCCCTTTATGTACGATTATGTGTTAATAGGTTTTGGAGCAACAAAGGAAACCACTGAAGTCTGAGATTAAATGTGTTCATTCAGAAAGGAGTGGGGATGTCCTCTTTGACATCTGAGACTGGCCTTTGACCAAATGTTCCTTTCAGTGGTCTCCATTTACTTACTAACTAGCTCTCGCTGTCTGTCTCTCTGTCTCTCACATTGTGTTAGCTGGTCTCCGGGAACATTTTGAATGTACCATGTTGCTTTGCACAGCTTTAAAGAATCCTTTCTGTTAATGGCAAGTAGATTAGTGATATAGATTTGTAGATTTGTGATGTAGTGATATAGATTTGGTACCATTTATATATAGATAGATATAGATATAGATATATCTAGCATCATTTATTTGAAGACCCACATTGTATATGACAATAACGTTAGGATCTATCCTTTCTGAGCCCTTTGCATTTAGCGGCATTCTTTGAGTTAATGAGTTAAATTTGGCATTCTCACTTTTTTCAAACCTGGGACACATTTGGTCCAGAGAAAGCTCATCTGTTTCCCAGCAACTCAGATCTTGTTCCTCTCAGTGCTTGAAGTGCAGCCCTTGGCTTCTGTTTGGTTTCCCTCGATGGCCCAGCTGCGCTAGGCCCCTTCTTCCTGTGTCCTTGTAGCTGGGAGAACAGGCACACGTCTTCAACTCGATAGGGTGCTTAAAGAAACTCTACTTGTGTATATATATTCAATCTTTGGAGAAAATGAAGTAACTCTTACAGATTATAGAGGTTGGAGATTTAATACTGCAATAAAAGATTCTGAAATTTGTCACATCTATCTTGAGATAAGCTGATTGGGTTTTGTGTATTGTGGCCTGTGTGTGTGTGTGTGGGTGTGTGTTTAAAAAGAAATAAAGCTTTTCTTGTAGAAGAGACTAAAAGAGTCAAAGCACCCATAATCTCACCATTGAAAACCCTGTTTGGGGATATAATTTACTGACCTTTCTTTCCAAATGCATATGCATTCCTTTATATTGTTATATTTCTCCTAGAATTGTTTGCATGCAGCTGTTACAAGGTTCTGCCAAGAATAGCATTCTGCCACTTAGTTATATGAGAACATGTTAGTGAGATACTTTATAGCCTTGATTTTAAAAGGGCAAGAGGTTCTCCCCCTCCAGTTAAGTCGGTCTGTTTTCCACCATTATAAGAGAAGCTGCCATTTGTTTTCTCCAAAAGGACACCATTTTTCCCAGGGGAACTTCAGAGGTTTAGGGCTCAAACTTTCCTCACCTCTGTTGATAGCACATAAGCTCACACTTTGAAGGTCTCTTTGAAGTAGCATTTGTTGCCTTCTAGGTTCCAGGGCAGATGGTGCCATGGTTGAACTCTTTCTTCCACTCCCTTCCTTCTTCTAAATGGACCAGATGAGCCCATTAAGATAGGTGCTGATTCCGCCTCCAGGCCTCATCTGGAATAAGGGGCACAGTTTCCATAACATGAGCTCCCTGCTGCCACAGGGTCGACCTAGTGAGCATGTGTGCTGCGGGGAACCACCCACCTGCCAGGAGATGTGGAGTGGTGCTGAGTGCTGTAGCACCCAGCGCTGGACAAGCGCCATCGTCTGTGATTTTCTAGGCCTTGGAAACTTCTGCCAAACGATGACCTTTTCAGTCCTTTCCATTAGGTCTCCCAGCTGTTTACAATCCCATGGGATAGTTTTGGCTAAAATAAATTATAAATTGTAAAATGGAGGTTTGTTCTAGCATTCATATTTATTAGATTTTAAGATTTAATGACGATATGGACCTAAAGCAAATCTTTGACTTTCTTTTTCAAAAAGCAATCAAGTGAAGTCTCTTCATTTTGACTACTTAAATATTGATATGTGGTCACATACATACCCCCTTTTTTTTCTCCCGTGGCTTTGTAAAATTAAGGTTTTAGACAACCAGGTAACAGAGGAGAAAATCCCTCTGTAAATTATATATTTGTGTGTGTGTGTGTGTGTATGTGTTTAAAACGTCAAAAATATTCATGAAGACAATAAAATGAAAAGATAATATATGTAAATTTCCAACAAACTTCTTGAAGCTGCCTCCTGTATACACTTTCTTTCTTGGTGTAAAATACAACAAGCTGTGTGGATTCAGCAGGGCTATTTGAGAATATTGTCTAAGATTGCTTCCTCAGAGGAAAGAGTGTCCACAGAATAATTGGCCACCATGCTCTTCAGGCCTGGTTAGTTTTGAACAGTTAACAGTGGAAGGACCGTTAATTAATGACCACTTATTTTTAAATTGACATTTTATTGCCTTAGCGAGATGTGTCAAAGGAATTCTAGCTAAGGCTAAAGCTTCCTTAAACTAGTCTCACCAATCCCCGCCCCTCTGGCTTGCCCCCATGATCTGTTTTTTGTCTGACCTGTATGTGTATGTGCAGGGGACAGGCTGGGCGTGGGGCTGAGGGTGTAAGCATCTGTATCCTATTGTCCCTGCCATGCTGCCGCATGCTGCGTGTTCTCAGTAGTATCTTGCTTTGGAGATTGTCCTTTTTGCACTGTGTGGGGAGAGCTCACATCTTTCCACCTCTGCAGACTCCCTGTAGCTTGGCCGCCCCCCGCACTTGAGAGCTTCCAGCAGTTTTCTGTATACCCTTTACCTTGCACACTGACGAAGCTTGGCAAGTACTTAGAAAATGAGACGTGCCCTTTATTTTATATGTGAATTCTTCAGAGGCAGGGAATTTTAAGACTGGCCCAGAGGAATATAAATAGCAGCCTGTGGATTCAAACGGTTTTCCCTTACTTCTCCCTAGCCGGGCATCCTTTCCCAAGGTGTGCAGCAAGTCACCAGAATCTTGAGCAGCATCCCATCCAAACAAAAAAAGCAATGAGGTTTGTGTGTTCCAGTTAACGAAGACGTCCCACATTAATGTGGGAACCAGCTGAATGTAAAGTTGTAATATTATATCATTCTCAAGAGTCACGCAGTGGCCCGCACTCCTATAGCATAATGTAATTCCTGAAGGAAATTCTATTCATGAACAAACAAAAGTACCTAATAAGTATTTGTTAAAACATAATGGCATACCCAAGTTAGGTCAGATCTCCATAATCCATGCCAGAATGCTCCCCTCAAGTCATTTTGATATTTCAATACGCAATTACATGAAATGATTTTCTCTAGTGGAAGCCAGAGAGCCATCACCTTTTCCTTTCGAAATGATCTATATTAAGCAAAGAAGGTGAAAGGGGTGGCCATTCGAGGGCCGACGCTGTGACAGGGACGAGGCTTGCAAACATATTGTCTCATTTAATTGCCCCAACAGTCTTCCGGGAATGAGTCTTCCTGCGTCACCAATGAAGGGACCAGGCATAAAGACCTCGAGAGCAACTTGCTGAAGGTTGTCTGGCGGGTTGCTAGCCTTGCAGGAGGATTACCCTTCTGCACTCTATCACAGTTGCTCTGAAGGTGGTCCTGTGACCCCTTGCATCTGAATCCCTTGGGAAATGTGTTGAGACTGCAGGTGCCCAGGCCTCTGCGGGTGGGGTCTGAGCTTTGCTTTGGAACCACAGCCGAGTCTTCCCTGTGCACCCTTGGGAGGCCTGAGTGCTGCTCCACCAGGCCTTGGTGACCTCCTTCGGGGACGTGATGAGCTATGTCAGCAGAGTGCCCCCATGCCTTTGGGAAAGAGTAATTCTCATCCTGCCCTGCTGGCAGTAGTGCAGCACCTTGGCAGTGGCCATCTGGGTGGTTCTCTGCATTCTCACCCACTTCCATTTTCTTGATTATTTGTGCTGCACTTAGCGTGTCTGGTGGTTCACAAGCAGCTTCAAAAAAGAAGGGTTATCATTGTTTTCTTAAAAAACAACATCAAAAAAGGCCATTGCAAAAAAAAAAAGAAGAATCTTGTGTACCTTTTGTAAGGGTTTTAGACATTAGAATCTACATATTTGCATTCTAAATCCTAGCAAACAAGCAATAAAAGGGGTGGGGGGTGGGGGGAGGCTCCTTGTGGAAACTCTTGCTTTAGAGACAGGAATGCTGGTGTGTCTTTCATTTCCTAGTCTCGGCTTCCCCTCCTGGAAGTGAGGCAACCAGAGTCCCTTCCAGAGTTTGCCTTCCGAGTACTAGCCAGTCTCAGTGGCCACCTTTGCTTCCTCCGCCTTTCTCTGTCTTCAGGATTATCTTTTCCTCTCAGCTCAGTGAAATGTCTCTCCTTCACTCTCGTACTACAAGCTTTCCCCTGGAGGGGCTCGTGCGAGCTTGAGTCCTTCCCACCAAGCTGAATAAACAGGAGCTCGCTGGTTGACTGACAGCCACGGAGAGGTGTGCCGTGAATCGGAAGGATCTAAAACCAACTCGGATGTGTGTTGATGCTCTAGCCTTCTGTGCTGGCAAAGAGCACCTGCCTTTGTTTGGGTGTTCAGCTCCTCCAAATAAAGAAGGCGTCTCCTCTCCCGAAAGGCAGATTTTAAAAAGAAAGAAGAGGGGAAAAAAGGAATCCTTTTAACCTTGCCCTCCTTTGAAACTAAAGATATGCCCCTTCCACTGCCCTGATTGGTCCATTTCCACTGACAAGTGGACCGGGTGGAAAGGAAATATCCAGGACTTAATTGTAAGTTCAGTCTCTCTTAATCCAGAAGAGCATTTGAGATTCTGTCCAAGTGTTCAATTTCCCAGGCCGCTGAGGTCTGTGAATTTCTTTTCCCAGCCTCCAGGCTGCTGCAGTACAAGTCAGCATAGCTAATGCAGATAGATCTGCTGCCTCTCGCTCTCCTCCTCCTCCCACTGCTTTGATTCGATATGAACAGCCTGGTAACTCCGATGCTGGGGAGAAATCTGACATAACTCTGCAGATGGCTAGGTAGCCATGAAACACCTGGGGATTGTTCTTTAAGGAAAAGGTAACATTTACATGCTAATGATGTCTTCCCCCCTCCTCCCCTTCCTTGTTGCATTTTTTTCTTCCAGGGCTGCCAGTTCCAAAGAAGAGCCCAAAGTCGGTAAGGACTTCTCAATTACTTGGTGCTTGTTGGGGGGTGCGGGGGTGGGGATGGTGGGAGGGGATGCTATCGGCTTGACTTCACTAAATGTACTCTAGAGTGGATCGGGGAGACCCGAGAGGAGGGCTCTTTTTATTGAGTTCTGGGGGAAGGTCTGTTTGGTACGGAAGGTATTTGGGCTGGTCTTTAACTGTGTAGTGGTCTGTGGGCAGGCTGCAGAAGGAGCTCAGATACGCAAATGCCTGGTTGCCATCCTGCCTGCATAAGTGCGAGTTGTAACTCTCCTTCTAATGGATGAGTCTTTCTGCTGTTTTAAGTTGATACAAATACCGCTGTTTCTTTGGGGAAGAGGGAGAGGAAAAGACAAAAAGCTCCACCTTCTTCCTGGGTAGCATCTCTCTCAACTGGTGTTCCCAGCCATTCACAGGGGTAAAGTCTGCTCCCGGGGTTTTCTTAGGAAAGAAATGATGAATGGCTTACAAAAGCAAACGGCCGTGGGTTTCAGGAAGAATTCTCTGGATTGTATACATGGCTATGTTCAGCTGGAACAATATCCACAGCCCCAGCCCTTAGAATAAGACATTTCCTTTCAGGGACAATGCCCTTTGTTGTTTTGCTAGCTTTAGCAGCATTATACTGCAGGTAAAAGATTCTTTGGGGGAAAAAAAATCAATGTTTTGCTGTCCTTTCTAATTTGGCTTCCCTGAAGATGCATTACCTACTTGACACGTTAGTTAACAGCGGAAAGCTGTCGTGTTGGGCTTGGCGCTGTAGCCTTCTGTTCTCCGAGTCCTGACTACCCATTGAAATGCTACTGGAAAACTCAGTCTGGGGACGTGGGTGCCAAGTGTAAGGGGCATTAAGGTAGCCGGGGCTGTTTCCACGTGGCTGAAAAGATTGGGGGTGGGGGTGGGGGCGAGGAAGCAGGTAGGGTGCTATGCCACCCTGGAGCAGGGAGAGCCTCTCGAACTTTGTGGCTCCTGGTGCCACAGCTGTTTCCCTCCCCCTGTCTCCAAGCCTAGCATAGAATCCAGAAGTTTCGACCAGGCGATGAGAGAGGAAGCTTCCTGCTTTCTGAAGACCCGCTCCTAAGTTCTCCAAAGCGGAAAAGCGGCAGTAATTGATGGGCTATCAGGGGCTCCATGCCAGGGTGACTGGGACATGTGACTTTGGGGCGATTTCCCTTGTGGGTGTGGGTTCATGTTCAGACAGCGAAGTGCTAGTAGGTGCCCACACTGGAATGACAGCTGCCAACACACGTGTGTGTGTGTGTGTGTGTGTGTGTGTGTGTGTGTGTACCTATCACTGGGCCGAAGAAACATATTCAGGCTTTGGAAAAACAGAAGCAAACCTGGAAGCTGTTTCTTATGAGCTTGAATTGGTGTACACCTTCTTCTTGGCTCCTCCCCCCCTAGGCAGACCAGGTTAATGCCTGGACTCATGATACGCACTCCATACGGAATGCAGTCTTGACACGGACTGTGTTGGAGGGGGGCAATGGGGACTTTGTACAGACATCAGGACATCAGGTAGCAAGGTGGCCCTTTTGGTGGTTTGCATCCCAATTCATCTTACTGTGCCAGATAATTTCTGTAGATTCATTTGCATCCCTCCAGCTGGAAGTGTTCTGGAATCACCTGCTGAACTCAAAGGGGGGCATCAAACAGGTATAGAGCCTGCATTCACCAAGCCAGTTAAAAGAATTCCCCATGACAGTTTATTTTAGTGGAAGCCGTGTCATTAGCAAGCAGCAACCCAATTACCAGGGCTGCATTCCTAGGGAAGCAGGGATCTCACTCAACTGCTTTGCCCACAGTCTGCTGGCTCTTAATTACCACAAGCGAAGAGGGTGGTGTGCTGCTGGGTTAGAGAAGAACAAGCGCCCCACCACCACCACCCCACCGCCCAAACTCAGCTTGGGGCTGGTCCTTGCCTGATTTCTGTGCCAGAACAGGGATCATGGTTTTCACAGCACACCCTGGCAGCTGCTGTACCAAATGTATGTGTTTGGGGCAGGGAAGCAAGTACCGTATATACTCGTGTATAAGCCGAGTTTTTAAACACATTGTTAATGCAGGTTTTGTGGTAAAATTAAGTGCCTCACCTGCTATTTGGGTTGGCTTATACTTGAGTATATACGGCATATCATGTATGCCCATCCCACATTGCTCACATCTGTGATCAGTGGCAGCCCTGTACAGGTGGGCTGAAGGCTGTGTCCTCTCCATGTGGATTTGGATGATGTCCTTCCAGAGAGACAGAAGGTAGTGGGCTTTTTCTGGCGGGTCACAGTAAATCCAGGGGAGGCAGAGTGCTGCCATGGCCCCAGAAAGCCATTGCTGTGATGACAGTCAGAGCCAGTTACACTGTCTGTGTAATTCATTCAATGCATGTTGCTTTGCCTGGGTTGTGGTACGCTTAGGGTGAAGCTCTGCTAATTACTATCTCTTACCCTAGGAAGCAAGCTTTCCCTTCTTTCTTTCTTTCTCTGTCCTCCTTAGATTATCCTAACAATGCTGCCTTGCTTAGGAGGCCCACGGCTTCCTTTTCCCCACTTTTTTTTTTTGGAAGGGGGGGTAATGTTTTCTATAATTGCATTTATTAGAACAGAAGGACCTGTCTTTTTTATCTTGTTGCCCTTCTTGGAGCAGCTCCACAGCTTACTCTTAATAGGCAATTCCACTGACTAGATTTAGTTTAAATGTTGAGTTTGTGGCTTATAAACTCGTTGGGGACAATGGCAGTACCGTAATAACATTTTATTAATTTAATCCTTGAGTTGCTATAGCATCAGGGACTCCTCTGCCCAATGGCAGGGGCAGCAGTCAGGCATATTTGCTGTCAGTTTACAGACCCCGCTGGGAAACAGCTTTCCTGGCCTGACTTTGTCATCCTGCCCAGGAGGTTCTTTAACGGAGGATCTCTGTGTACGTCGCACCCCCGGGGGCTTGTGTGTGAGAACTTAAAACACTGAGTATCACAACAATCCCTTGATTTGAAGTCAGCATCCTCTTATTGTTCCATTAGTTCATATCTCATTGTTCCTTTCCTTCCTCCCTTCCTTCGCCCATCTGTCCATCCAGCTGTCAATTCACCCATCATTCATCTGCCCGTACATCTACCCATCTGTCCATTTGTCCATGCATACATTCATCGTTCACTTATTCATTTATCTGTTTATGCAGCAAACTGATACTGAGAACCTACTCCCAGTCAGATTCAGTAGGAGGCCCTGGAACTATAATAAATAAGATGGTGACAATACCTTTCAACTTAGAGCTTACAACGATTTGTCGGTTGTTCCTTTAAGGAAAGTCTATCGGCACAAATTAACACAACTGTTTATGCCTTCACTCATTTCATCGATAAGTGTTATTGAGTACCTCCCATGTGCCAGGTCTAGTCCCAGCATACCTGCAACAGGAACTGACACAGAGGGCATTCCTGCCCTCCCAGCACCTGGGAGGGACAAGCACCAATCACACAGCCCTCGCCTCAGCAGTCTGGTGAGCATTCAGTTTTAAGAGTTAACAAAACAAATATAATACAGAACCAGATGTAAGCGTCATGAAATATATTGAGTTCCTGATGCCAGTCACCTCGGTTAAGTTGTCACACAAGAGGCATATAAAAAGGCTCAAGATTGAGTCAGATGTTCTGACTGAGCTAGGAATTCTTTGGAGATCCCTGGTACCCTAGGCAATTAAGGAGACCACATTGTTTGCTTAATCATAGTGTCCAATTGAAGGAAGCGCGCCATATCCACTTCCCCAGGGACTGCATAACGTCTCTGGTGGAGTTTGCATGTGGGGGACATCATATGCTGTGGAAGGCATTCTCTTCAGCAGCCTCAATGTAGCAAATGCAGCACGCTGAGCGGTCACAAGGACGGCAGATTTCCATTCTGCTGTCTTCTGCCCTCTCCCCTGGAAGAGATGCTAAGAAAAGTGCCCCAAACTAGTCATTAAGAGAAGTGAGGGAGAAACTGGAGAGTTTTAAGTGCTGCCTCTCTCCGGTATTGTCCTCGCTGTCTCAGTGCCCATCTCCCTACCTTCCCCCTAAGCTTCTCAACTGACAAGCACAGCAGTAATGGGACCAATCAGTGCTCCTTCAAGCCACAAGGAGCGGCAGTAGGGAGGAGGAGAAGGAGCTGGGCAAGGCAAGTCTGTGGAAGGTGCAACGTTTCCACACTCCGCTGCTAACTAGAAGGTTGGTGGTTGAGTCCAGCCAGAGGCCCCTCTGAAGACAGACCAAGTGATCTTCCTAGAAACCAGCACATTGATTGTACTTCTGTGGGTGGGTAAACCAGGTGGAGCCAACCTCCCAATGGGGGGGGGGGGGTGCTTAACAAGACATAGAGAGCCCTAGGGGAGAGTACTCCCCGTATCGGTTCGTAATGGGACACGTTGACCTAGCTTCTACCCAGTGTTGTGCTATAGACTACCGGGACTTTAGATTCTGCCCTTTGATGCACACAACGTCCTTCATAGGATTTGATGTGTACATCCCACTAAGCGAACCAGGCTTCACCTCCAAAACCCTTGTAGCCAATTTAAGGAACCCATAGAGTCCCTTGGACTAAAAGCTAAAGCACCCTGGTGTGAGAAGCAGCAGGTGGCAGCCACCCCAAGATTATGGAGCTGATGCTCTTTGGACTTCAGTCTGTATCTCTTGCTTTAAGGGAGCCCAGTGAACGGCAGTCTGGGTCTACCATACGCTTACTATTGTAATGTTCTCATTGCTTTCTTATGACATGTATTAGTCTGGTAGGCCAGGTGCTGCCTTTGTGAATGAGTGTCACTGAGTTTGTCCTATCACCACCCCCCCAAAAAAATTCAGTAACAAAACTCTGGAGCACAGCTCTGCTGTGACACACAGGGTCGCCATGAGTGGGAGTTGAACTGATGGCCCTTGGTTATTGGTTAAGCACATTTCCGGCCTCTCACCTCCTGCAACAACTCACGTTCTTGACCCTCTGGGACTCAAGAAAATAGACTTTG